AAGATTAAACTGAGGCAAATAGAAATTGTCTACAAGTCCACAGTAGAAAGTCCCAAGCATGTGAAGCAGGTCCATGGTGGAAAGTCCCAGGGTGGTGACGCATATTGAAACTGCAAATCCATAGTCCATGAGCAACTGAGTCCCTTAGTCCATAAGCTTTTCCTATCAGCAAGCTGGGGTCGTTACTGTTTGCACTTGCATTGTCTGGAAGCAGTTTAAGGCAGAAGCACTGTCCCACACGTCCCCACCAAACTGCTCCAAGGCCGCTCACCCCAGGCCTGTATCTACCTGGAGACCCAAGCTTGCCAACCTAAAGCCTCGCTGTCCCCGGCTGATCCCAGCCAGCTCCCGACAACATAGATGTACACAAATGTGAAAATAGACTGAGCTGTGCACTTAGGATTTATGGTTTCAATGCATGTAACTAACACCTCCATAAAAATAAATACATAGAAAGTAAATGCAGGGAAGCTGTTGATGGCATGTCCCAGGTGGGAACGGTGGGGAGGTGACACGATAGGAGGGTTCAGGACAGGCTTTACAGAGTCATCATATGTATTCTCTCTGAGCCTCGCCTGCAAAATGGATACCATAAAACCTTCCCTGCAGAGCTGGTGGGAAGGTGGGAGTTTGTGTACACCGTGCCTGGCGCCCCTGTAGCCAAACAGAGATGGAATGCTTTTGCTGGGGTGACGCTGTAAGCTGCTGTAGGGGTGGGGTGGGGAGATGGCTGGGTCTGCTCCTGGGCGGTGGGCCTCGGAGAGAGGCCCCTGCACTCACCAGGCTGAACCACAGGGCGACATAAAGGAGGGGACAGCGGGTGTGACGCAACCCCCTTCCCTCGGTGGCATTTCACCATTACATCTCAGTCCTCGCTCCATTGTTCTCCCACAAACCGGATCCCTTTTCTCAGGGCCGACTGAGGAAGCAGGTGGCAGAAGCAGCTTTGGGTGCTGGTGGGAGCCCAGGCTTGGTGAGCAGGAAAACTGGGCTCCAGGTCCTGGCTGTGAGGGGCAACCTCATACGATGGCTTCCAGCTCAAACAGACAAAACAACCATTTATCTATTAATCTAGGAAGTTGCATGCCCCATACAAATGTTTACATTCTAAAGGTTTTCACACTTTCACCCTGGCAAGATACCTGAACTATCTGATCAAAGACAGATTTCTACTCTACTTTATTCCTTTTAACTCATCAAGCACCTGCTGAGCACCTGTTCTGCACTCAGCACAGTCAGAGAGCTGGGGAAGGCCTGGCCCTGCCCTCAGGTGACTGCAGTCTGTGGTTAGAGCTCAGCTCTGGGGTTCTGCGCCCTTGCCCTGTAGTCACACAGCCTGGTTTGCATCTCCCCTCTGCCACCCACCAGCTCCATAACCTAGGGCTCTTTGCTTGACGTCATGAGCCTCAGTTTCTGTGAAATGGGGATAACAAAAGCACCCACCTATTGGGCACATGGAGGATAAGAAGAGTTCACCTCTCTCAAGTGCTTAGAATGGCGTCTGGCAGGTGCCACTGCTCAATAATCGTCACCTGTTATGATAAGTATCCTCAGGGATGGGTACAAAGTGCCAAGGAAGCAGCAGAAGGGACACCTAACTCAGCATGGCCAGGCTGTGGCCTGGGGGATCAGGATGGGGCGATGAGCTTGTCCTGGGCCTGGATGTGGGGGACACTGAGTCAGCCACACAAAGAGGAAGGGAAAAGTGCTTCCATTTCGGGACAGAGAGAAGGCTGCACAAAAGCTGGCAGCCAAGGAGGCAATGGTGTGATAGACAAATGGAGGAGGTGAATGTGACTGTCATCTCAGGTAGGGACCAGCAACTTTGTTCTGGAAAGGCCAGAGAGTAAATGTTTTCAGCTTGCAGGCCATACGGTTTCTGTCACAATGATTCAACTTGGTCACTGTGGCATGAAAGCAGCCATGGACCATAAATGAACAGGCATGGCTAGGCTGCCATAAAACCTTACAGGTAGACACTGAAAACTGAATTTCATATACTTTCCTTGTGTTACAAAATACTATGCTTCTTTTGATTTTTTTGACACAACCCTTTAAAACTGTAGAAACCATTCTTGGCTTGCCGACCTTACAAAAACAGGCAGCAGGTCGGATGGGCCTGTGTTGTTAGCACCACGCTAACTCTCTGTGCCTCCGTTTCCTCCTCATCCGCACTAAGGGGTTATTAATGGCACCCACTGCATGGCATTAAAACAGAGCCTGGCCGACAGTTTGTGCTCGAGAGATATTAGCTATGAGGCAGGTGGTGACAGGCCACACAGTGGAGTCAGTTTGGGGGGTTTTATTGCAAAATGAAAGCAGCGAGAGACTCGTGAAAACCAAGCAAACAGAAATGCTTAAAATCAACAGGAAAGACAACAAGGCGAATCGAACCATGGCAACCCAAGGTCCGAGTTGGGCAAGTTTTAAGAGCCCTATTGCTCTCTATTATCTGAGCCACCCACGTAGGGCTTCTATTTCTGACAAACAAGTCCCAAGGTCCTTGGGGGTCTCCTGCATGCAGCTCCCCAGAGAGTCACTGACGCCATGTCTTGGGGCGGGAGAAAATGAAGATGGGCCTGGGACACGTGTCGTCGCTAGAAAACAAGCGCGTGCTTTCTGAGAGTCAGCAAGGATGGCTGAAAGGGGAAAGAGGTGACGTAAAGCAGCTCCTGCTGGTCAAAATGTGACAACTTGACCATCCAAAAGGAAATACCGAAAATAGGTAAATAGGACAAGGTGAGTCTCCTAAGAGCTGGAAGTTCATAATGGCCGCAATGGCCCACAAATTCAAAAGGGTAAATTAAAGTGTAGAAAAGGTCAGTTTTACAGTAAAAACATAAGTTGTTTTTTGGGTTTTTTTTTTAACAAGTAGGAGATGAAGCTAGAGACGTGTGTTTTATTCCTTCTATTAACTATACTGTGGCTTACAGTGCGTAGGCTTGTCTTCTTATTCGCTGAGTAAGGATGAGGAGTGAAAACAACACTCTGTGAGTTAGCCAAATAGTTGAGAAAAAGCAAGACTCGAACCACACACAGGAAGCAGCCCCAGAGGAAAGAGGAAGGAGACAGGGCCCACCAGGGTGTTGCAAGTTGGTAGATTCGCAACATGTCAAGAGTTGATGAACCAGTGGTGCAAACTCAATCCACCACCTGGAAGAGAAAACCTAGAACATTTGATGAACGAGCTATGAGAAGACAGACAGTGTCAGTTATGCAAACAGGGCAGGCCTGATGTTAGACACTTCACAAACATCCCTTCATAAGAACTCTAAGAGAAAGACTCATAGTATCCCCATTTTACAGATGGGGAAACTGGGGCTCAGAGAGGTGAAATGAAGTCCGCCCCTGAATTCAAGTTGGCCCAGCTCCATCCACTCCACACTCAACTCAGCCCGCTGCACCTCACAGGTGCTCAGAAAGATGCTAACTGCACCTGGGCCTGGGCCTTTAGGAATCAAAATGAGCTCTTTTTCCCGGGACAAAGAGTACTGCTCTCCAAATCTTCCTCCTGCTCAGTCCCCTGGGACCCATTTGAAAGTTTTCCCCGGCCCAGGACACATCCCCAAAGAGCATACAGTGGTTGGCATTGGGACCCATCTGTGCCTGAGGCCACCCTAAGTCTTACATGTCATCATCTCATTGACTCTTTGCAATCCTGGAAGAAGTGACCATTCTTCTCACAGAAGAGGAAACCGAGGCCCAGAGAGCTAACATGGCTATGATCTCACAGAAAGGGAGTGGTGGAGTTAAGGGTTGAATGCAGGTGCTTAGCTCCCAAACCCATGCCCGACCCACACTGCCCCCTGCAGAAGGAAGCCAGTGCCTGCAAGGGGAATCCTTTAGTGAATTCCAAGGGGAATCCATAGTGAGTATGGGGGATCCAAGAGTGGGGGTGCACATGGCGTGTCTTGTGTGTGTGCATGGGACAGGTTGGTTCCCACACTCCCTGGGGGACTCTGCCAATGGGTAGAGCACCCGTAAAGTTCACCATCGCTTCCCTGACCAGTCCGGGTCTCTGATCCTTGATGCGCTTGGCCCAGGGCCCTTCGCACACTTCTCCCCTCCCTTCCTGTTGCAGACCCCACGCCTCAACTATCAGGCTTCTCTCCCTCCTACTCCCATCTGTAGGCGGGGCCTATGGAGGGTAGGGTCTCCCCAGGTTCCCCTTATTTACAACCAGCCTACAGGACCTTCCTCTGTTGCATTCACTCCTAGGGAATCAGCTCAGATACTGCAATCAACTATTCCAGAAGTAACCAAGTAGACAAGACTTCCCTAACCATGCCTGGTGGTTCATGGGACATAGCGCCTTCAAGAGTGGCCACTGGGTGCCCCCTACCTCAGGGATTTTGTCCTTGCTCGCTTTCCCAGAGCCTCTCACCCCCTTCTTCCCAGGATGTGTGTCCGGGGACCTTTCTGCACAGGAGTGGGGAGTGAGGGAGTGTGAGGATAAGGTCAGGAAGGGCTGAGCATGGAGCCCTTGACTCAAAAGGGACAGGGACCCAACCCCGAGCCCCTCACGTTCCCCCGACCTTTCTTCATTCGTCCTCCAACATTCCAGGCCCCCTGTGATGTCAATGCATGACATTCTGGGCCCAGCCAGGGTCTGGGACACACACAGACCCTTTGCAGCCTCCATGGGGCCCCCATTGGGCATTTCAGAGGTGGCTCAGTCCTCTCCCCTCTAGAGCTGGCCCCAGAAACCTGCCAAGATGCTGGTGCCAGGCCCTGGGCGAGGAGGGTGATGCCTGTCATTTGCATTAATCCTCTGAACTGGGTGTCACTTTTCCTCTTACAGAGGAACTAGGTGATTCGTCCTGGGTCACATAGGCCAGACAGAGCAGGAATCGCAGGTGACACGCAGGACTGCCTGGGCTGGGAAGGGCCATCTGACGTCCTCCTAGCTATTGGCAGCTTTGTGCAAGGCAGCTTCCTGCCCCAGTTCCCGCCCCTCCCAGACCTGCTGCCACCAGCCTCCTTCCTCCTAGGCGGGCAGAAACTGGGCACTGTGCTCAGGGCACATCTGGCCTGAGTGCTGCAGCCCTCAGCCCCCTGGAGCTCCAGAGGAAGAGGAGGACGAGCAGGAGGTTGGGGCAACAGGAGGTGTGGCCACCGCAGCACCTGGAATTGGAGGTAGAGGGAGCAGTGCCCTACCGGTCCCCAGGCCACTGGGCTGAGGGGGCCGAGCTTGGCCATAGCCTGGAAGGTGGGGTGCTTGCTGTTGTCCATCCAGCGCGAGAGGTGGGTGGGGCAGCTGAGCTTGGAGAAAGGCCAATGTACAGATGGGGAAACTGAGGCACAAGGAGGGGAAGAAATACCCAAGAGGTATGGAGGGCGGCCTCACTTCAGCCACAACCTAGCTCTCCAAGCTATGCATGGATGGACAGCCCTGGGGGCAATGCCCATTTAGTCAGCTCAGGGGGAAAAGTTGGGGCGCCGAAGCCAGGCTGTGGAACTGGGGAGTCCGGAGGGGGTGGGCCTCTCGTGCAGTATGCTTGGGAACGCTATGAGAGGGGTGTGCACCATCCCCATGCAGGAGCAGAAATGAGCTTGGGGAGGGATGACTCCCCTCCCTTACGCCCACGCACTGGGGGAACCCACTGGCGCTGGGGGGTGGGGTGGGCAGCACCGTAAAGGGCTTACTGTGCGCACCAACACTGGGCTCTGAGCTTACCTCGAGCTGCTGCATTTAACCCTCACAGCAGCCCAACGAGGTCAGTGCTGTCATGACCCCCACCTTACAGATGGGGAAACTGAGGCACAGGAGGTGAAACAGCTTGCCTGAGATCTGACAGCCCATGAGTGGGGAGCCGGTTCCTGGTCTGAACCGGTGTGCTAGAAAAACCTGCAGGTCATTCGCAGAGTCCCACACCTGGGGCAGGGCGCATGAGAAGGGAGACACACATGTACTCACCCATGCACTCGTTCCACAAATACCTGTGGAGTACACACTATGTGCCAAGCAGGCGCGGGTGCAGAGAGAGTGCATCGTGCGATGTGGTCTGCCTTAGGTTTTCAAAGGGACCACTGTCAAGTGGGACCCTACTGGCCTCAACCCTGTACCACCGCCTCCAACCTCCACCAGGGCCCCTAAGGGCCTGCAACAGCCCAGGAATGGGGCCACATTCCCGGAGAACATTCCAGCAGCATGTGGATCACATTGGTCTGCTGGGAGCCACATCCAGTGCAAATAGAAACAGGTCTGAGGCTGGCCAGGGACTGAGCCTCCTCTTGCCCAGAGAAGCATGGAGAGCGGGACTTCCAGGGGGCTGTGCAGACCAAAATAAAGAGCCTACTGTGGCCAGGCATTTTCCATAGTCACTTTGTATGTCCCCGACAACCATGCTAGGAAGTGGGACTCCCAAACCCCAATGGTACAGGTGAAAACATCCTCTGGTTCAGAGAACGTGCCTAAAACAGCACAGCTCTTCTTTCTAGGTTTACTCTCTGACCCCTGACCTGTGCCCACGGCCCCCCATGTCAGCCTAACATGGCTATGTCCCCGTCAGCCATGCCCCACTTTCTCCTCAGGGAAGCTGAGTGAGGTTTTGTATCTGAGGTTGGCTTAGTGACTTAGAACGAGCAGCCTATCTGCTAGGGGCCTCAGTTTCCCTGTCTGCCAAGTGGGCACGTAACCCATTGCAGCCTCCCCCCTCCCCTCCATACACACACACATACACACCAACCAGGGCAGCAGTGTGTCTTCAGCAGCAGGTATTTCAAGGCTGCTCAGTAAAGGGTAGCTCTCGCTACTAATAAGGGAGCCACGGAGAACTCCCCAGCGGGAGTGTAGGGCCAGGAAAGTAATGTCCCAAAGAGCCTGAGTCATGCCACCCCCACCTAGGACGCAGGACGCTGCGATTTACAAGCGGGTACAATGACTCCCTTTGGTCTGCGGAGCAGAGGGCTATGCACCGTCCAGGCAGAGCACATACTGACAGCGTGGGCGGCTCATTGTCCGGTGGGTGGACTTAGGCCCTGTTTGCTCCTCTGATAACTGGGTTGACCTTGGTTAATATTCACCAGCAGCCTCCCCCATCGCCCCTCTGGGTCCGCTGCTTAAATAAGGACGAGGACAGGGCTCTGTCTCCTCAGCCTTGGTCACCGGCCCCGGCCTAGAACAGTGAACCGTAAGTATGCCTCGCAGCCCCCCGCCACTGCCCAGGCAGCACCCCACCCCTGCCCCTGCCAGAGATGCAGGGAGAATGGAGCCGGGTGGGGGTGGGCCTCCTGTCATCACAGCAATACCCAGGCTAATGTAGGGACCTGGTGGTGGTGGGGGGGGGCCAGCCCAGACTAGAAGCGCAGACTTCCAGCTGCTCATCGGGCCTCCACCCTCTGCAGAGATGCTCAGAACAGAGCCGTTACGGGCCTCAGCCTGGAGGTATCAAAATGGGCCTCCCCGTGCACAGTGGGCCTCTGGGTGCCCTCATGCACAGGGCAAGATGGGAAACCCTGGGAGGGGGACCATCATTGGGGTGTCCAGCTGTGTTCCTGAGCCCTCCCTCCAGCCAGCGGACTTCTAGGCTTCTTCTTGTAAGCAGTCCCACCTTTAAGCCCCACAACAACCTTCTGAGGTGGTTACCGTGGTTACTCCCATTTCATAGATGAGGACGGAGAAGTTTATAACTTGCCCCAAATTCACACTATCCAAGATTCAAACCCGGGCCACTTAGCTCCAGAACCCATACTCCTGATCCACTTCTTACTGTGAGCATTAATTCTCCGGGGTCCCAGGCACCACTTGGGGAGTGGGAAGCCTGGGCTGGCCTCGGGCCTCACTGATGCTGGGCCGTCTCAACCTCACTGTCCTCTTGGGCAGAATGTAGATAACCTTTGCCCTCTTTCCTTTCACCCCAACCCCACTGGCCTTGACCTCTGGAGTGTTGAAGGATATGATTTTTTCTGTCATTGGGTTTTGGAGATGGGGCTACAAAGATGACCAAGGCCAAGGCAATTAGACTCCCCATATAGTGTTCTGAAAGACCCACAACAAAATCAATATCAACTGATGCTTCCTGAGAGCTGACTGTGTGCCAGGCATTTCTTGGCACTTTGCACATGCTTAATTTGCACAATAGCTCTATGAGGAAGGGCACCCTTATCATTTCCAAAAAGCTGAGGTTCAGAGAGGTTAAGTAACTTGTCGAAGATCACACAGCTGTGAGCAAATGGAGCGCGAGTGTTCTGGCCTCTGAGCTTAGCCACAAAGCGATGCTGCCCCTCTACATTTAGCCAGGCCACCTCTGTGGTTTTCTGTTTCAAGGTTTCTGGCTTCAGCTTGATACACAGAAAAAGGTTAAACGCCAGGTTCTGAAATTGAAATGCTTAGGGTTCAATCCCAGCTCCGGAAGCAATTAGCCCTGTGGTTTTCCAGAAGTTGCTTAACCTCGTAGGCCTCAATTTCTCCATCTATAAACTGGGGCTAATAATAATTCCCACCCCAAAGGGTAAGCTGTGAAGGGAGATTAGATGAAATCGTGCATATAAGGCACCAGATGTTTACTAAGTGTGATGATGACAACAGCAATGCTGATGTTTGCTGGGCACGGCGTTTGGCAGCTAATAGGCAATGGATACTTAGAGGATTGAATTTTAAATTTTCCAAGCTCAAAGGTGGTTCATTGCTGAGCAGGGGCTCCTTCTCTGGTCCTGGGCAGTGTGGCACCTGGCCAGGAAGAAACCTGCCCGTTCCCAAGCGTGCCCCGTGCCTGTGTGCATGTGTAGAGAGCTTCCACGCCTGGTAGGTTCCCACCCACCCATCATCTTGTCTTCTCCTCACATCTTCCCTGCGAGAGATTCTTTTCTCCACTTTACAGACAGGAAGCTGAGGCTCAAAGAAGTGAAGTCACTTGCCCAAGGCCACTTGCCTGTAAGTGGCAGAGCTGGGTCACACCTGGGCTTATTTAATGCCAGGTTTCAGCAGGTTGTGACCTTATGGCACGGTTGCTTCCCTGGAACCCGCTGGGTCACCCTCAGTCACTCATTTTATGCTCCTGGGTGGACATGGTGTGAGATTAGCCAAAAGTGATGGCTCCCTTCACTCTCCCCTCCCTGGCCAAGACTGCTCCCACCTGCCCCGGACTCTGGAAATGTCATGACACCTTCATTCCTTTGCTTTAAAGCTTGGTCCGTACACCTCCAGGTGCTTCACATCTACTTTCTCCTCTTGGGGTAGCTTCCCTGGCACTAGGCTTTGGATGGGTGTGGGGTGCTGCCTTTGACAGGAGGGCAAGGAGAGAGCAGAAGCCCCGGGCCCCTCAAGTTGTAAGGAATAGACTGGGGGGCAAAACGAAGCAACAGGAGGCTCACGGTCAGAGTCTCGTAGGGCCCAATTCTGACAAATCATAGAATCCGAGACCTGACGACATGGCTGTCTCAGTCTGTAGTTCAAGTGGATAAAACCAATGCCTGTTCCAGCCTTGTCACTGACTCACTGTGTGGCCTTGGCAAGGCTCTGACCAGCTCTGGGCCTCACACCCAGAGTAGGTGATGGAACACCCAGGAAGATGGAGTGGGGGTGACAAGTGCCCCTCCCTCAGCCCCATGTCAGCCCTGCCATCTTCTAAGTGGGAGGACCCCTCACCCCATCCTTTCCCATGGGAAGTCTCAGTCCATTTTTCTCCACCAAACCCAGATACTCCTCTAATTAAGAATCCAACACGAGTGCCCAGGGACCTCATTTAGGTCTTTCCCCACCTTGATTTACCAGGTGGGGAGAAAATGCCCCAGGACAAGGAGATGTTTACCCAAGGCCAAGTGGACAGTAGTGGCCTTGTCAGAGCTAGAAGCCACAGCCTCTGGCCCTGAGGTCATTCAGCATATTTCATGTCCCCACCCTGCCAAGGCCCTAATCCGCCATGATCCCTGGGCCCTGCCTGCAAACATGGGGACTTTCCACTAACCCCGAAGGACCACACCAATCTCCAGTGGGGAAGTCAAAAGAAACCTGAGGCAGATGGAAACATACAGAACTAACATTAGCACCGATTCAGCTCGGAAACCACAGGCTAGTTCAAGAAAAATATAAACACATATTATGTAATGCGTGGTCTGCTCCGTTTGGATTATTTAGAGGCATGACTACCAGAAAGAAGGTGGTGGAAACAGACCAGTTTGGTGTTTCATTTTGTTGTTTTATTGGAAAGAAACGTTTAAAAGTCCGAGGGAGTAGATGAAACTCGGCATTTCTTATTTCCAACTTTTCCCCCTCAGGTTTTTATGTCCCCATTCAAGGGCTCCTTTGTCTTTGCATTTTATAAAATGACAGTTTTAGTTAGGTGAGGCATAGCTAGCTACGAGGTATAATAAAAAGATATGGTGAATGTTTAAATTTTTAAAAATTTACTACAGTTAAAGACACGTTGCCATTACTCCCCCTCAAAATACTACTTGCTTCAAACACGCTTATCCCATCATTTTTGCCACTTTCTGAAGCGGCTCTGAAATTGAATGGCTTTACTTCATCCTTCATCATGACAATGCTCTGTGTAATACATCGCTTCTGGTATAGCAATTTCTGTCAAATAAAAACATCATGGTGTGTCCTCATCCACCTTATTCACCGGATCTGGCACCGTGCAACTTCTGGCTCTTCCCCAAAGTCAAATGACCATGAAAGGAAAATGTTTTCAATTGATTCAGGACATCGAGGCAGCCACAATAGTGCAATTAAAGACATTCATGAAAGAGGACTTCCAGAACTGCTTCAGAAAGTGGCAAGGATGATGGGATAAGTGTGCTTGAAGCGAGGGGGAGTATTTTGAGGGGGATTAATGGCAATGTGTCTTTTACTGTAATAACTTTTTTTTCATTTAAACATTCACTGTATTATTTGATCACACCTCATATGTGGCCACAGGCACATCTTCCTCTGTTTAGACCTCAACATCCATGAAAAGAGTAGGATGTGCTTGGGGGCTGCAGAATGGCGCTGGGAATATCTGGAGCAGAGGGAGCTCTGTGGGGCAAGGGGGGGTTCCATGTTGCTGTGGTGACAGTGACCATCACTGGATAGAATCTGCTCCTGCTGGTTCAGGCACAGGCCTGGCCACTCCCTAGTGTCCGTCCCCCACCCCCACCCCCGCC